ACGTATATGCCAAAAACGGTTAACACATAGTAGGGAAAACCCACCTGCGCACACACACAAGTTTGTATTTCYAGCCTTATTAGGACCATTCATTGACTTCCATTCATTTACAGTCATTTCTATAGTCTAACCCTAAACTTAAACCTTGCCCCCAACCCTGGGCTTTTGAGTGCCCCTGCAGCTTTTTTTGGGGTGGGGTGRGGAGAATCCTTGAATCTCCTGTTGTAGGATTGTGGAGCTGCCTAAATGCTTGTTGGTGCAAAGCACTGCCTGTTTGTATCTAGCACCTCCCTGGAGCTCCTGCCCCACAGAGCACCCCTACCCCACACCTCCTCCACCTGGTRGAACTGCAGGTCTTTTGAGCTTGTAATACTAACTRCTTCTCAGTCCAGTCTTTTCATATAAAAAATATGTCTTTATCGGGGAAATGTATTTTTTGAAGGAGTGCCTGACATGGTAGGGTTTTCTTTAGGAGGTGTTTAGATAGGCTATGATGCAAAGTCAAATTTATTTTTGATATATACAGCATTTYCATAACAACTGAAGGTAACATGCTGTAGTTACTTGATTGTGGTATAGAATTGAACTAAGTATGTTCCCCATGACATATTTTCTAGTGCTTTCTTAGATTTTTAGATGAACTTTATCCTTCATTAAATGACACAACAATAAACAGATGTTTTTGCACAAACTTTCAARTGAGGAAAACATCAGAGGTTTCAGTTCAAATCAATCCAAATGTGGAAAATAAAGTAAGATTTGATAATTAAATATATCAATGTGAGGAAATTGATCCTAACATTATCCCCCAGTCTTTATTTTCCTGTCAGCTCACTTATTTCTTAAAACTGACAGAAAAAAGGTTTGTTCCTTCTGAAGTTTTTCTCTTGTATTATTTGGATAAGAAAGAAAGTTTTCTCCTCTGCTCAGGACTCCAAGGCGTACTACAACCTGCTGAACCAGGTGGCCCCTAAAGGAGATGAGGAGGGAATCCCCCCCATCGCCATCGACATGTCAGGACTCCGGGTCAGACTCTTTAATCTGACAGAATTTAATCTCTTCACATGTCAATATTCATGCCATCAGATTACTCATGTGCTGTAAAACTGTATCTGTTGTCATTTAGTTTTAAAATAATTGTATTTCAGTTATTATTCATCCATAGGTGGTTTATTATTGTTTTTGTTGTCAGACATCTAATTTGTCTTTATTGAGAACAGGAGCTTCTTTTAATATTTGGCTGTAATCCTTTGATCTTTTGCCTGGTATTGGTAAAGTCTCCCTGAGTGCTGACTGTCAGCAGAGGTACTRTTTGAGGTTCAGACTGTACTCAGTCTGGGCTCCTGACTCGCTCCGTCTCTCTGCAGGAGAAGGAGGACATAAAGAGGGCAGAGTGCATGCTGGACCAGGCCGACCGGCTCGGCTGCAGGCAGTTTGTCATGCCGGCAGACGTCGTCCGCGGAAACCCCAAGCTGAACTTGGCTTTTGTTGCCAACCTGTTCAACAAGTACCCTGCTCTGAAGAAACCAGAGAACCAGGACATCGACTGGAGCTCCATCGAAGGTGAGATCATCATCTTTATCCACAGGGTAGAGTTTCTCAGATGTTCTCTGATGTGTGTTGGATCAGTGATGCTGATGTTCCTCTGCAGGTGAAACCAGAGAAGAGCGGACCTTCAGGAACTGGATGAACTCACTGGGGGTCAACCCTCGGGTTAACCATCTCTACGCGTAAGAACCCTGTCCTCTTCTTCTACAGCCCTGTAGTTCAACACATCTGCTGACTCTGTGTGTGTGTGTGTGTGTGTGTGTGTGTGTGTTACAGAGACATCGATGATGCTATTGTCATCTTCCAGCTGTATGAAAAGATCAAAGTTCCTGTAGACTGGGACAAAGTCAACAAGCCCCCCTACCCCAAACTTGGCAGCAACATGAAGAAGGTACAACTCTTGTAGCTCCTGGTTTCAGAAGTTCAAATCTCTACAAATCGTCAAACTTAAACTGTGATTGTGTAAAAATCAAAAACAWGTTTTAAAAGTCAGTTCTCACTGTGCTTTCTGTTCCAGCTGGAGAACTGTAACTACGCTGTGGAGCTGGGCAAAAAGGAGGCCAAGTTCTCTTTGGTGGGGATTGCAGGTCAGGACCTGAACGCAGGGAATCGAACCCTCACCCTCGCTCTGCTCTGGCAGCTCATGAGGAGGTAACGGTGACATCACAACTCTGCCATGAGCTGTGAGATTAAAAAAAGTCAGTTCAAGTTTCTGCAGTTCTTTAAACAATGAGCTGAACACAGCTCCTTCAAAGTAAAAGCCCTGAAATATAGTTAGACTTACTGTGAAGCTTTCAGTAAAAAGAGAAGAATTATTCTCTTTAAGGCCAGTAAATACTCATGTACTGATGAGAATCAAACTCTGCCTCAGGTACACCCTGAACATCCTGGAGGACCTGGGTGACGGACAGAAGGTAACTGATGACACCATCGTGGCGTGGGTCAACGAAACCCTGAAACAGGCGGGAAAAGGCACCATCTCCAGCTTTAAGGTGAAACACTTTGTGTGCTCAGAATAATGACATCATATTTAAACACAAACAAATTAACACCAGACTAACTAAAACCACCTGATAGACAGCTAATAGACTGATCCCAGCAGTCCTCAGTACAGCTGAGATTCTAAGTTATAAATCCAGATGAAAATATTCTGTTTATTTTTCTGGACATTTAACACATTTAACACGCTCAGTATCAAACTAAATTGTTTTTTTTTTTTTTTCTTTTTGCAGGACATGTCAATCAGCAGCAGTATGCCAGTTCTGGACCTGATCGACTCCATCCAGCCTGGATCCATCAGATATGACCTGGTGAAATCTGAGGACCTGACAGAAGAGGAGAAACTCAACAACGCAAAGTATGTTTGTTTGTTGAGCAACAATTTGGAAGTTGTTTCATGTTTTTTCAGTCATTTGGCTTCAAACAGATTCATTTCAACAGCAGCTTTAGAAAAATGAAACTAAAATTTAACCATATTTTTATTTATTTCTGAGTAAACGCTGATGTAGAAGTTTTCTGATCTTTTACAATAAAACCTGAGATTTAGCTTTAGATTTGGCTGAGATGTTTCTACACTTTAGATCTGAGTCCACCTGTTGTACGTTCTATTGATGGGACATGAGTGGGACAGGTGAACGTCTTCAGAAGGAAAATGGAAAGGAAAACGTCTGACCCCTCTAAGAGCCGGTGGTCTACCCACAGCTGAAGTTGGAGTGTAATCAGAGAGGGGTCTCAGCTCCTGAGGACTAGTGGACCAGCAGGTCTCTCCTGATGTGGACTTTATAGCAGAGCAGCTCGATGGTTCATCCTCAGATCTAAACATAACCAGCCTCACAGTGAAGCATGGTGGTGGCAGTTTTATGGTGTGGGAGGAGCTGCAGGAGCTCAGGTGGAGGTTTTTAGCTCAGCAGCCAAACCCTCAGGTGTGAAACTCTGCTTGTCTTTGTGTCATCAGATACGCCATCTCCATGGCGAGAAAGATCGGTGCACGGGTCTACGCCCTGCCGGAGGACCTGGTGGAGGTCAAACCCAAGATGGTGATGACCGTGTTCGCCTGCCTGATGGCCCGAGGCATGAGGGGCTGAAGACCATGACCTGGAGCTAAAGGGAAGAAGACCACTTCAACGGGACTCACAGATCCACTTCTACATGTCACATAACCCTGATCACGTCTGTTACCGTTTATTACCTTAGGATGTCAGGAACTGGACCAGAAACAAATCATGTAAATAAACTGGTCTGGGCAGAGATAGTGGATGTTTTTTGTTTTGTGACAGTTCAGATCCAATAACCTGGTCCTGATCGAGTCAAGTTATTTTCCTTTAAATAAAGCAGAATGTTAAATGTTTTTAAAAATAAAACTTTTCTTTTCTCCTCCTCTCAGTTTACTTCTTGTTTCAGTCAGTTCACAGCAACACTGATGAATTATTCACACTCTAAAAACATCCCACCATTTACCGACAGCACACTTCTTCACAGCTCGTCTTTACTATTTATCTGTTGACCAATAGTTCTGTTCTGAGCATTTTCTGACTTTCACTCAAGCCGTCAGTTCTGAAACTCAMACTTCATCTAAAATATTTCACTTCAACTTTTAAAGTTATGTCTGAAGAAATGATATATTCCTGCTGAAGTGCTACAACTAGCCGAAGCAGAATCCCATGTAAAGTGTGATGTTAATGGCTRAGTAAAGGGTTAAATGTTAATGTTAACAAACTGTTGTGCAATTTAGGAGATTCAAGCTGTTTGTTAGTCATTCAGTTTGGACTAGCCATTAGCTCATCAGTCCTGTCAGAATTAAACGGTTTCTCCAAACTGAAGCTGTTAAAAAAACACCTGCAACAAGTAAGATACTTTTTACACAAACCACCAACGTGGAGAAACTATTATCCCTTTAAGTAGAGAAATAAATGGATAATTAACCAGGACGCTCTTCTCAGGAGTATTTAACTCACATTTATGGTTTTAAAAGTCAGAATAATTGTTTTTTACTTTGTTTTTAAAGAGCAAACATATCTCCATCAGGTTTCACTCAGTATATTTATCTTCTCGAAGTAGCTCAGGTTTATCATGAAAGCTCCTTTACGTTTGTTCAAACCTAAAATATTTATTTTCTACAGAAACACAGCTTTTTGTGTTAAAACTATTTTTACTTTTCTACTTTTTAAAAAAACACTTTTCAGCCAAATAAACAAGAAACTGGCCCTGAATGTTTACAGCAGAGTTTTAGTCCTGGTCATTTTGTTCAGGCTGATAAATGTGTTGTAAAGATGAGATCAGCCGTTTCCTGAGTTTCACTCATCCTCAGAGGACGTCAGTTTTAAATGCTTCAAGCTGTAAAYGATGAAGACGAGGGAGAGCAGAGGCTTGTTTAGCTGCTGAACCCAATCTGTCCTCCAGAACTCATCTAATGAAGAACATGAAATACACAACATTGCAACTGGACTCAATGATTGGGTCAAAAAGAAACGTTTAATTAGAATTAGGTAAAAACAGAACACAGGTTGACTCTGCAGGTGGAGAGTAAAGCAAAAAAAGGCAAATATTTACAATCAGAGATGCAGCAGCTGCTTCTGCTCCTCAGCTGCAGTCCTGAGTCTGTTTGTGCTCAGCACATTGTTCTGAGGGCCTGAGGCTCTTTATTTGGCAGGTTTGGCCTCAGACGGGTTTTCTCCTGTGTCTAGAGTCTTGAGGAGGCGAAAGAGGCCGGCGGCCTCTCGGATGCGGCTGAACTCGATGCAGAAGGCCTGGACCTCGATGAAGAGGTCCTGGACGTTGATGATCTTGTTTCTGATCAGAGACTGGAGGAAGACGCAGACCAGTCGCACCAGTCGATTCTGAAAGTCACAGAAAACATCTGGCTTAATATAAAATATGTAACAGAAACAAACGCCTGAGAATAATAAGTCCAGATGACTTTAATGCTGCTCGACTCCTGGGTGTGAGAGTTACCTGCATGTACTTGTCTTTGATTTGCTCACAGGTAGAGATGCAGTTAGAGATGTAGAGGTGGATGAACTCCGGGGGGAGGTCCACAGCTGTGGTCAGTCTGATCAAACACAAATGTTATTCTAAAACAGTGACCACTACAGGTGGGAGCTACCTGAGCCATCAACATCCAGTGATAAACGAGGTGCTGAATGTTTTTCGATGACATTAATATTAAATTAGCATTAACGCTAACTGTCGATCAGCAGCCTGTGATTTAAACATGTTATCTCTTTATTACACTAATCTATAAATCTACTTCTGCTGCCTTCAGGTTAAAAGTCATAGCATAACCATGTCACTAAATGATCAMCAGGAGGGTAATTTAAACTTTGTTATATGAGAATTAAATGTTTTACAGACTGACTCTGCAGATTGAAGCCCAGATTGTAGAGCATCGTCTTATTTTTGGTTTTATATAAATTAAAACTCTAATCGTAAACATTTGACAGATTCATAAAAACACAAACTTAAAAAACAAACTATGATCTGTTTGCATTAACCAGTTATTTTAATAATAAWATATTCCTGCACCAGAACTGACACAGCTAGCTGAAGCTGCTAACTGCGCTCGCTAAACAACTAAAGAAGTTCAACTAACTGTTTTTTTAAAAGAGCATTTTCTTCCCACTAACAGACCAGAAGCAGAGCACACAGGTGTGYTGTCCCACCTGTTGACCACCTCCATGGAGTGCAGAGACATGTCCATGTTGACRAGCACAGAGAAATACTCTGTGATCTGGCTGCTCTGCATCAGCTTCAGCAGCATCTCGATGGCCACCAGCGGGTTGTTCTCCACCAGATCAGGCAGCTTCGCTGGACTCAGCCCGATGTGATAAACCAGCTTCGGATCTTTCTCCAGCTCGGCCAACAGCTGTATTCACACACACACACACACACACACACACACACACACACACACACACACACACACACACA